CTCTAAACATGCAAAGACTCAAGGAATACATCCTTAGGAGGGTTATTAGTTGGGACAAATTGGGACCAGGTGGAAAAATTATTCCAATAGAACAATTTTACTCCTTTGGGATATTTTGAGTGGGGTAAAGTGAGATAATGAGATATTTTGAGCCTTTGATTTGATAATTCATATGAGATAATTGATGATATAGCACCTTATTAAAATATAATTTTATCTATTAATTACTTCTAAATTAACTTATCCAATTGGTTTGATATATTATTTAGTATATTATTATAATATAAATATTATTTTCCTTTATATTAAAATATAATTTATTGTACTATACTTACAAATTACTATTATTAATTATTATATCGTATTACATTATATTATATTAGCATGCTATACTATATATAATAAGTAATATAATATAATATCAATATATTTAATATAATATTTTAATAATATAATATTTAATATAACATATTATTTTATTTATACAAAAATATAATATGTTATACAATAATTAATAATTAACATTATATTAATATGCTACATTATATAATAATTGTTATAATATATGAATAATATATCTAATATAATACTTTAATAATATATTATTTAATTTAATATATTATAATATAGTATCATAGGATATAATGTACTTTATAAAATATTATAATATTTTACTTTATTCAATGTAATATTTTTTAAAATATTATATTAAAATTAAAATAATATATATATAAAATATGTAGATCAAGTTCAACGGAGCGGATCATCCACAATATCGCTCAATCATGTGATTTTAGAGGTGTTAAGGAGGGAATCCCCTCCTATGACAAGGATACCCATTAATATATATATATATATATATCTCTCTCTCTCTCTATATATATATATATAGAGAGAGAGAGAGAGAGAAATATGTGTATGCTTGGTACCAAACACAAATTTTGTACTTGGTAGTGAGGTGGCACAATCCCCTCCACTCATTCAAATAGGGGACCACATTCACATGTGTTGAGAAATACATGGGGATATGCAACCATTTGAATGAGGGGAAAATTTACAAAATAGACCGTTTTTGGAAAATAATTAGCGAAATAGACCGCATTTTGGAGTAATTAGCAAAATAGACCGTTTTTTAGCAAAAGAGGTCGATTTTGAAAAAGGGTTCAGAAAACATACGGGACTACTAGTCCCGTATGTTTAATTTCATGATTAGTGCACTCAGAAAATATACGGGACTACTAGTCCCGTATATTTTCTGTTTGCTAACAAAACTGCCAAGCAAATCCACGGGACTACTAGTCCCGTGGATTTTGCTAACAAAATAGAATTTAATCGGAGAGTCCCAGTCCCCTCTCTGCACTTCTCCGATCCCTACGAACCCTCAAAATCTTTCACACAATCATTCAAACCTCACAGAAATGGCGTCCACGAGCTTGGGCATTCGAGCCCTCTGCCCTCAAATCCCCATTTCCATCCTTTCATCATCATCTTCTTCATCCCTCTCTCAAAGGAGAGCCCCAACGAGCTACACTGTTCTCCGAGCAAAGGCCGCGGCGGCGGCTCCTCCGACGTCACCGCTAGACCCTAAAGACCCGTTCTTGTCGAAGCTCGCCTCCATTGCAGCCGCCAATCCCGACCTCGTCACCATGCCGCCGTCATCGAATTCGGAGATTCCCCCTTTTCTTGAGCTCTTTGATAGCCCCAAGCTCATGGCCGTGCCTGCCCAGGTGAGTGAATTTTGAGGAGAATGAAAAAGATGTTGCTACTAAAATTTCAAGGATGATTTCTGCATGTTATGGAGAATTCACCCCTAAATTTTCGAGGATGTTTGTCTTAATAAATCTACAATTGACTCCTCATCGTTTACTTATTGTGGAACTAAATGAATATAGCAAAAGAGATCGGAGAAGTGCAGTTTTGTTAGCAAACAGAAAATATACGGGACTAGTAGTCCCGTATATTTTCTGAGTGCACTAATCATGAAATTAAACATACGGGACTAGTAGTCCCGTATGTTTTCTGAATAATTAATATTATATAATAATATATTACATGATATTATTAATATATGTTATTAAAATATTAATATATGTTATTATATAATATTATTAATATATGTTATTAAATTATATTATTAAAATATTAATATATGTCATATTTTATATATCATGTCATATATTTATAATATAATTAGCATGTATTAGTTCAGTAATATAAAAATATTTTAAAATTATCTTAATTGCCTTCAAAGTGAAACAACATTGTTCCAATACGGAAGATGAGGTAAATTTTTACTATTGGGACAAAATTTTTATATATGAGTGGGGTAATTTTATCCCAAATGATGTAATTATCTTACTAGTGTTCTAAAAAACTAATAACACAAAAAGATATTATCATTATTTTATTATCCTAATAAATAACACTATAAAATATAATCCCAAAATTATCCGATTATCCCCAAAATTTCCCAAACAATAACCCCGGCTTAGAAAAACCTTTACGGCGAGGCACCCTCCTCCCCACAAGACAGAATCTCAAACAATAAATGAAGAAATAATAAATAAAGTGGGCCAAATCCAATACAAGATTGGGGTCTTTTTTAACGCGAGGATAAGATCATGCTCATCGATGACCCTCCTCCTCATGGAAAGAATGATTACTCCTTTTGGAAAAATTGCTAATCTATAAATTTGTCCTCATGGAAAGAATGATTACTTCTTTTGGAAAAAAATCTCTCACAAGTGTCCAATGGATTGGATTCCTTATTTACTGCCAAATTAATTATACAACCAGGATAAAACAAAATCTACAGCTGTCTTTCTCATTTGGGTTTTCTCAATTCTATTCCCATCCTTTTAAGATCTGGTTTCTTTCCTTGTCTTCTTCATTGTAAGAGGAAAAGGAATGGAACCCATGAAGATTTTTTGGATTCTTGGGTTTCTTGGGTTGTTTTCGGGGAGATTGGTTCAGGGTTTTGATGGGTTTTTGAATGAGACTGATGTGGTGGAGGCTGCACCCAATCCATTGCTTGTCGGTTTAACCCTCATCCAATCTGCTGCTGATAAAGGAGCTGGTATTATTTGTTTTTCTCTAATTTATTGATTTTTTTGTCACTCTAGTTATTTGCTTATTAATAATCTCTTTCTCTCAATAGAACAGAGATTGGTTGTTAGATATTCTAACGTTTGCTTATTTGTGGAGATTTAGTTGTCATGTTCATTGGTTTTCCTAGTAAAATGATTGTGAAACTGATTGTGATGTTCATTGTTCTGCTTTCCAATAGAACATTGCCTACCTTTTTATCGATGGGATGTCTAATCTGTTTGCAAATTATTTGTATGGTAATGATTTTTCAGAATCATTCATGTTTCTTTTACCTAAATCTTTTCTATAGGTAAAAAATTTTTATACATACCTTAAAGTATGAAGCTTGTTTGACACTGTGCTATTTCCTAGCAGCTGCATTGTTGTTTCTTACTGTTTTCATCATCCACATGTACAGAAGAATCTATTATATTTATTGAACGCCATTTGCTATTTATTTTATTGCATTTTTTTTGAGACGTAAATAAATGCTTTAGTGCTGCATAAATACAACAAGATAGTGTAAAACACAATCATTACTAGCAAAGAAAAGCATCATCCACATTGTTACTGGGTTGAACTTAAACCATCCTTTAATAATTTCCTCCACCTTTGATATGTGCAGTCTGTTTAGATGGAACACCACCAGGTTACCATCTACACCGTGGATTTGGGTCGGGAGCAAACAATTGGCTAATCCAACTAGAGGTGACATGAATCATTTGATGTATATCATCTCCATTATGTGGAAAAGAAACTAAAATCTTACAAGATAAATTTTAGAATGCAGTAATAATTCTTATTTGCCTCAGGGCGGGGGTTGGTGCAATGACATCAGAACCTGTGTTTACCGCAAAAAAACTCGTCGTGGTTCATCAAATTACATGGAGAAACTGATTGAGTTCACTGGGATTTTGAGTAACAAACCTGAAGAAAATCCTGGTACCTCAAATTGAGTCTATTCTCTTCTCTTTTTGATGATATAAAACGGATTTGCTGATGAAATTTTTTATATTGATTTGATGACTGCAGATTTTTTCAACTGGAACCGAGTCAAGGTTCGCTATTGTGATGGTGCATCCTTCAGTGGTGAAGGCTATGATGAGGTCTGTTGGATTGTATTTCATGTATTTTACAAGTTTTGTTCCTTCATCGATAAGGAAATAACATTATGTATGGTTGTTAGTAGATTTACTTATTTAACATGTTTGAAGTTGAGAGGTATAGGAAACGATATTTGTCACAGAAAACATTATCAAATTTCAAGTTGTCAAGTATTACTTTTTTCTGTTGCTTTAGATCGGAATTTAACATATTTCCTTGAAAAATTAAATAGTGTAAGGAACAAGTATTTAATTTTTCACTCTTCCATCCGATTAATGGAAGACATGTTAAAATTCTTTTTTGACACTCCCCTTAGGAAATCTGCATCAAAGTCCATCTCCATGCCAATTTTTTCTTATTCTTTTTATGCATGGGATTTAGGATATATTTGATGGATTGATAACTAGAGAGCTGTTGAAGCAGAAAGAACGGTTTCCTATCAAAATAGTCTAACACCAATAATTGGTAGTCAGTCGTTATCTCTTTTCATTAAATGTAACTGGCCCTGCCAGTTGTATGTTGGAGTCTATGTAGTCTGTGGTGAAATTTGTTCATTGATGATAGGGTATCAGTTGATGAGTTAGAAAATTTATAATTTTGAGTCCAGAAGGATACTGAGAAGATTTAGGTATAAAGAATTTAGAATTAACAAGAGCAATATGGAGCGCATGTACTAGATTTCTAGAGAAAAATGACTGGAGTTATTCCTTTTTAACGCAGCTGCTCCAAGAGGAGTTAGCCACCGTCAAAATGTCACTCATGGTATTCGTAAATGCATGGAACATGTCCATACCATAACACATAATTATTATAGTTTATGAGTTTGTGCTGTCATGTGATATTCATTTTGCATGAATATTGTTTTTGAGAAGAATATATTTTAATTGTAATTGTTCTTCAATCATTTTTTATCCTCAAAATTTTAATAAAGTGCTAAACAACCAAGAAGCATGGTGTATAAAACAATGATTTGGGTAATATCGTCCTCACGTCTTTAACATAGCAATTGAATGGCGGTCATGTAATTTTTCAGTTTCCAATAAGAAAGAACATGCCAATTGTCATAAACTATGAGGAAGAAATTAATGAAACACCTAATTATTCATCAATCCATCTTAGTAAATCTTTAGAAAACCTTTTTCCCCCTATGCAATTAATTTTGGATTGTCAATGGATGCTGAATTTGACGTTGAATCTAGGCTGCAGGACTTTATTTCCGCGGCCAGCGTATTTGGTTAGCTGCCATAGACGATCTACTGTCAAACGGAATGCATAATGCCGACCAGGTCTGTGACTTGAAGTTTGCATTGCATCTGTCTTAGTTATTTGATGATGATATATTATTAATTTATTTTTTATATTCATTATTATAGGCTCTTCTTTCTGGATGTTCTGCTGGGGCTCTAGCTTCTGTACTGCACTGTGATGAGTTCCGAGAGCTACTTCCTACAAGTACGAAAGTCAAATGCCTAGCTGATGCTGGCCTTTTTCTTGATGTGTAAGGCTTACCATTGAGATCATAATCTTCAAATTTGATTGTTTGTTTGATCTTTCCAAATATTTTAGGAAGTTCTGGTCACTTTTTTGTACAAGTACTTGCTTGACAGCATGACTAAGTTTCCAGTTCTGTCTTTCCGTTTAATTTCTTTGTGCATATTTGGCTTATAGTTTATTTTTCTATTGGTAGTGTTGATGTGGCTGGTGTTCGCACCATGAGAGCCTTCTTTGGCGGTGTCGTGAGCTTACAGGTATTGGTGCATAATATAGTTATGGCATGAGTTACGTTTGCATTTGTGGTTATTAACATCAATGGATATGTGTAGGAACTATGAGAGAAATAATGTATGTTGTTGGAAAATTGCATATTTGAGCCTCATTTGCAATTCTGATATTGTTTTCTCTGTTCTCACATCGAATATTCTCATGAGGTGCAGGGGGTTGAGAAGAATTTACCAGGATACTGTACTTCTCACATGGATGCAACTTCGGTAAGAAGTCTAAGGACTATATAATTGGTTGAACTGCAGAAAATCTACAAACAATTACATACCTTTTCTATTTGTATGCAACCATGCAGTGCTTCTTTCCTCAAAACTTGGTGGCCAGTATTCGCACTCCACTTTTTCTTCTAAATACAGCATATGACGTATGGCAGGTATATATCTTAATAAATCTTTTTCTTTAGAAAAATATCTTAATTAACCTTGTTTATTAATAAATATTCCTTCATTCATCTTTCATTCAATAATTGGATTTCTTTGTTTCTGACGTGGTTTTCCTAATTTCAAATAGGAAATGAAATGATAGATTACAATGTCATGCTTGTTCTTATTGAGACATGAAGTTTTTCTTTTGTTTTCAAAATTTGCAGCTCCAGGAAAGTTTAGCACCACCAAAATCTGATCCTCATGGTTACTGGCGACAGTGCAAGCTAAATTATGCAAATTGCACTGCTGACCAAATTGATTTCTTGCAAGGTGACCACCTTGATATTCTTTTTCTGGATCTTAAATAATTAGCCTGAGTACTTGTGAGCAAATACCCTTTTTTCTCCCATGCATTGCAGGCTTTAGAAATGAAATGCTTAATGCAGTGAAAGATTTTTCTGTGGCTGCTGATAGTGGTCTATTTATCAATTCATGTTTTGCTCATTGCCAATCAGAGAGACAGGATACATGGTTTGGGAGTGATTCTCCTGCTATTGCAAACAAGGTATGACTATTTTTGTTAAGTAAGGGTAAACAGCAACAAATCAACTTCATCTATAACCAATTTTCGAAATAAACCTTGTCGATATTAAGCTCAAGAAGTAACTCAGTCGTCTATCAAAAATTCTGTCTCATGTTTGCGGTGTCTATTCTAGTGTTTGAAAATGCACATTTTTGTAGTTCCAGAAAATTAAGCATTTCTAATAGTTGATAAAGATTATTTGGAAAAGGGTTGAGAGGGGATTGTTTGTGATTTATCTTCTACATGATGCTTTAGTAACTCTTCTTTTTCTCTAAAGGATTCATTGCAGACAGATTCTGTAGTTTGCCCAATTGCATATAGAACCCCTGTAGCTCTATTGTTGCAGATAAACCCCCCAAGTGGAAGTGGTACTTTTTGACTCCGCTACCCTCAGAGAAAGAGATTATTATTATTATTATTATTGTTTTGACAAATCGACCCCTTGAGGGTAGAAGGGTAAAAGAATCAGCTTAGGGGGGCTATCACGGTACAGGGGCTGCAGTTAACTCTTTTATATAAATTGTATTATGCTAACAATGAATTGTATGCATAACTTTTCATCAACTAAAATTCCTCTGTAACAACGTGGTTGTTTCCATGTGCAGGGAATCGCAAAATCTGTTGGTGATTGGTACTTCAATCGATCGACAGTTAAGGAAATAGACTGTCCATATCCCTGTGATAAGACTTGCCACAATCTCGTATCGAGGCAAGCACATTAGTTTCATTTGTTCACCATCTTCTGTCTGAGGTTGCAAGGAATTGCATGGTTTATTCAAGATGGTAATAGTGAAAAGCTTGATTGAAGCTGAGAAATAATGGTACCGACAACTCTGAGAGATAGAGAGAGAGACCCATGTCTCTCTTACAATAATTCTTTGATGGTAGATTTCAGATTGCATTCTTCAATGATAGTCCTATAATCAAGTCGTGTAAACTTCTAAAGCACATTGTAGCAAGTCATTCAATATTAATTTATAAAGGAGGACATGCTAATGTTTTTGAGTGTTGTACATTGAGCAGAT